CCCCTTGCCGCCCCCCACGGCTGCGGCACCAGAGCTGCGGCGGCCGCGGCGCTGCTGCTCACAGTGCTCGTTCCTCCTGCAGGGCAGCGTAACGCCGACCGACTTCTCCCTCCGAAAGTGCTTCCTCCCGCACGAGAGCACAGTCTTTGCTCTGTACGGCGCCGCAGGGGCTCTGCTGGCCATCCTGGTGCTAGCTCATTTTCAGCTTCTCACTCCACCGTTTTATTTTGCTCAGCGTTTAATCAGTAAGCATAAAGCAGTATGAAGAGCCAGACATCTGCATTCAGTCACTGAAATACCAAAGCTGAGAACAGTCAAACATCAGACTATATTCATGCCAGCAAATGACCTAATTGGATTGCTAGTCTGAAGGCAGGTTGCATTTACACATACCATAGAAGTCCTATACAGCTGATATGACTACTACAGGATAAATAACTGAAATGAATGTTTCATGCTGTACAAAAATACTGTATTCTACAATCAAATGAGTCCTTTTCCTGCTATAATTTTTGTATCAAATATGTATATTAAAAGTTTAGCTGTACATTATGTAAATCCTATAGCCTCATCACTTATCTGCACTGGTGTCTTACCCTGGTGGAGGCTCAGTCTTGCAAACTGGAAACGTTTCTCCGTTTTATTGCTTCTAAAGTCACACTGCTGTTGGCAGGGTCAGGCAGAAGCCATGTGCATCCACACCGAGATGCAGGTTTCCTTAATGCTTAGAGCGTCACAGGTGAGGGACTGTTGGCTGGGACAAGAAATCTTCCACTTCCCGCCACGTTAAGGTGTTAGCCCAGCACAATTTGCAGTTATTGTCTGCCAGACAACAACGGGAAGAAGCCTCGCGGGTCCAGTTTGCTGAAACACACTCGAAACCTGCTTAAAAAAAAACGTAGGGTGACACCTCAAGCTGCTGTTTTTAAAAAGATGTGCTATGATGAGCTTAAAAAAAGAGGGCCCTATTGCATCCCAGAGGTCTGTGTGGTGAGGGGCCCTCCCGTTGCCGATCTTCTGCAAGAAGGAAGGTCAAGTACAGCTGCAGTAACATCGTCCTGGGCCCCGGCGGCAGGGCCCGGCCGGGCACCACGTTGGGGAACGCTGTTGTGGGGCGGCCTTGGGGCGAGGGGGGCGGAGAGCCGCAGAGCGGGACGGGGAAGCGGGGACAAACCGGCCTCTTCCCCGCAGCGACCTCAGGAAAAAACGGGGGGCGCTTCCACGACCCGGGCAGATTTTCTGCCGTCCCTGCCGCAGATGCTGGGGGCTGGTCTCCGAGGACAAGATTGGACTGGGGATTCACGGCAGGAAGAGGGACGGAGGGAGGAGAGGGCCCCTTTACTCCTCGTGGCAGGGAAAGGAAGGGAATCTTTTGCCTTTGGGACGGTCACTTATTACCAGCTTATTCCACCCAGCTTTGCACTTTCTGGGAAATAGCTGGTGACTGCCAAGTTCAGAAGAGGAGTATCAAAATACACACATTTCTGAGAAACAGAAGTGATCATAGTATAGTGTCTAAAATGGGATTATTTATCATCACGTAGAAACAAGTACTGAATTTTGTAGCCTGAATTTAAAAGATGACTGATCAGGGTTTATAAATAACAACAATGCAGTGGCGATCAAACCCACTGAGTTGTTGGGAATGTGCTAGATCTTCATCTCTCCCTAAATTTGAAGTGTGGAGATGTTCCCAAGTGTGGTAAAACATTCTGGAAAGTAATGTAGTCTAACACTTCTCTAGGTTTCTGTTATTGCAACTGTAATTTTAGACGTTTGTACAGGTTATCTTGGACACAGGAAAAGTATATAGTCACAGACATAAAACACCTATGTATAAAATATAAAGCAGTGTTATAGTTACTAAAAAGGACATGCCTTATTGCTACAGCAATTCTTGCTTTTTATATATTGTACTGTACCACAACTTGTTTTGAGAATGTCATTTGCATAAATTATTCAAGTTTGAGAAATATTCACACATTTTGATTCTACAATATTTAAAATAAAACAATTTTCTAATGTGTCTCTTTATTAAAAGAGAAATAAAAATGTCATCTTGTAATTCTCTTAGGCCAGACACAAGGGTTTATACACCTTTTTTTTTTCTTTTTTTTTGTTTTTCTTCTTTCTTGCTATTTACTTGCACAATGAAAGCCGCTGTTGGTACAAAGATTGAAGAGCTCTATATAATGGTGCTTTACATTCACAATCGGTCTCTGCAATTGTGAAGTTCTATGAATGACCAAAGAATTACCAAACATATTTTTCTAAATATAAAGGAGAAAAAAAAAAAGAAAAAGGATCCTTGGTTCCCATTAAAACAACACCAGGTTGCAATTTGGACACTTGAATGAATTCCAATGTTTTAAAGCTGAGACTTCAAAAGAGAAAGGCATGTTTGCTGCAACATCCGGTGACCGTAATACCTTACTTGGAAAGGTAAGTGGTTAATTTGCATAATTTATAATTTTTATACTAAAGAGCATCTTTATATAAACCAGAAAAAAAACCCTAAACTCTACAGATAAAGTTCTTACCTTCAGTCACTGCTGCAGGTAAGGTTGACATCAAGCTGTACAGCGCAATCAAAAACATACTTACATCTTAGCTCATTTTACAGGTACAGCCATAATCAAGGCACAAAGATCTTCTACAAGTATTTTTCTTCAATAAAGTTGTACAAAATAATATTACATTTTACAGTCTGTACAATATAATAAACCAGCAGTAAAACAAAAAAATATATATAGGGAGAGGACCGTTGTCCAAGAATGATCTGAACTAAAAGGATCATTTGTGGACAGCACAAATAACGCAAGTGAGGGTGGTAAGTTTTCTGCCTAGATGCAACAGGCTGAAAAGTAGCTGTAATTCAAATGCCTGAGGTGTGCAGAGACACTGAGCTCCAAAACCCCAGAGAAATTGCTTTGTCTTCACTGTTCCTCTCGTCTTCTACTCTACTTCCTGTGCCAGTAACGGCGTAAAAGAGGAGGTCACTTTATCAGTTGACCTGCAACTCAGAAATGCTAAAAACTGTGTCAGAGTAATAAATATTGTGGTGCTGCTACATTGTGTGTCTACTTCCTCAACAGTATTTAATAACCTGATACAAAGTGCATTAATCTTTTTCACCCATCAAGTACTCTTCAATGTCATGTTAAAAAGGAAACCCACACAGAGGGATAGGAACGACCTTAGTGTCATCCGGCTGACATACCAGTTTGAACCTGCATCAACCCGCTGGAAAAAATTTAGCGGGTTATGTTCAGTTAAAAAACAAAACCTAAGGGAACAGAGGTAGCCAAAGGGCTTAGTGGAATGACGAAGAAGTGGCATGTCAAAATAAAGCACAAAAACAGTCCCAGAAAGCATGAAGGAAAGGAACCCAGACTTGCTTCGAATCAGCTTTAAGGTTAAATAATTAAAGTAAACAAAGTGAGGAGACTGACATTTCTATAGTATATTCTTCCACCCTGTGTGGGCTAGCATCAAGAGAAAGGAGCAAAGAATTTAAAACCACAGGTTCCACGGTGAGCCCCCTCACAAGAGTTCGTACTGGCGCAGGTGCATTCGCTGGATGATGTCCCGGCAGTCGTTGAACACCCTGCGGATGTTTTCCGTGTCCACCGCGCAGGTGAAGTGCGGGTAGCAGTAGTGCCGGCCGTCGCCGCTCGCCGTGCTTATCCGCTGCGGGAACAGGAGGGCGGCACGTTACGGGCAGCTCCGCGGCCACCGAACGCAGGGCAGGCTGCGTGCGTGTCTGAGAGAGCAGGCCAGTATCGCACCGGGGGCTTCACGTGTGTGCAACTTACTATATGGGCTTGGACTAGATGATCTCCAGAGCTCCCTTCCAACTGCAACCATTCTGTGATTTATATATATATAAATGTGTTCTACGTTGCTTTAGGCTGACACAAGTCCACTCTAGATCTGCCATCTTCAATAGTGTATATGAAAACGTACGAACTATGAAGGTCAGGCTTTGGGATACTTATCTTTTTAATAAATCTTTTCTTAATGTTATTATAAATTATAAGGGACAAACAACAAAATACAATGTTCTCCCTCGGCTTATCTTACATATGGATTGACCTATTAAATACCTTGTAAAGCTAAATATATGAAAAACTATAGATTATAAGCTACAATATATAATATATAAAAATAATTACAGAAGCAATAATCTACATATAATTAAATCAAAAGCAATTTCAAATTTCTGCAGGCACTTTAGGTAACATCAGCTATTCGACACTCCTTAAATAGGGGCTTCCAAATAATACTGATTCTCTCCTTACTAAACTACACTGAAAATCTAGTTCAAGGATTACCCTATTGAAAAATATTAATTTAATAACCCTACTCAATTGATGAGCAAGTATCTGAAGCACCAAATACACTGAACATTAAGAATAAGGACTGAACAACAATATATTTTATGGATTTCTGCAATGGTGGCAAAACCCTGGAACTGCGGAGCTGCAGACCGCACACGTCTCCATGCAGGATACAGGCCTCACCTCCCAGAAACGCGTGGGGACATCGCTGTCCACAGAGGTCAGACCAGGGATCCCGGGGGCCGAAGCAGGGGCAGGAGGGGCTGAGGGCAGGCGCCATGATAGCGGGGCCTGGGGCTGAGGGCTGGGCCCGGGCCGAGGGCACAGGGCGGGAGCGCAGGAGCCTTTCCCACAGGAGAGGGTTCCCGGCAGCGGCAGAGGAGGCGGCACCTCCAGCTGGACGGAGGTGCGAGCGCAACGCGGAGGAGCAGCCGGGGCCGGGTGGCCGGCGCGCAGGGCTGAGGCCAGCAAAGGGCACTTCCCAGCAGCTCTTCCCCAGCACTTCCACAATTTGAAGATTCTCGGCCTAGATTTCAGGGTACTGAGTAACCAGACCTCCTACTGCAGCCAGCAGAAGGCCACATCCAATGCTGAAATTAGGGAGCAATGTATTTCATCTTCCTCATATGTACACACTACTTTATGGCAGTATTTGTTGGCAACGCATTGTGTTAATTTGCCTGTCCAGGGTGGTAGTAGCTACGGCCTGGGTTAGCGGAAGGGGAGCTCTAGGAGACAAGGGGTGCTGACGCCGGAGAGGCCGAGGTTGTCACCGGCATCCCTGCCCCACGCGAGGCGGCAGCAGCTGCTGGGCACTGCTCCGGTCGAAAATCCTAATGAGCAAACAGAGCCCCCCCCGAGCTATCTCTCAAAGCACACTGAGCAGGATGAGGAAAAGGTCATAAACAACTGCACAGGGGATTCGGCTGCGAGAGTTTCTGTCTTACAACTCTGGCTTCGATGCAGCGCAATCGAATGGCCTTCCTCATAATCCAGAGGGTGAGCTGGCGAACGAAAGTCCCCACACTGTGAACACGATTAATTGCTTCTTTCTTTGTCCTTGCATCAACAGCCGTAAATCCTAACAATGCTTTCAAATGCGTAATGACTTTAAAATTCTTCATTCTAACGATTCAAGCTGCTCTTTTGAACACCCCCATCCATTTCCCGCGAGGAGGGCAGGACCTGAAGCGCTAAGCGTTAGCTCTGGCCTCTGCTACCGCTTCACACAGTTGCGACGACTTGGTATGACTGAAAGTCACCAAGTTATTTTGGATTAAGTGCCCTGTTCCTGGCAGCAGCGCCAGGCTGTGATCGTGTGACCCGTAACGGTGGCTCCTGTGCTATGCAGAGAGCACCTCTCCACAAAGAGCGACTCGGACCTGACATGTCCGTGTTCCTACTGCCTCCCAGGAGCACCGCGCCAGACGAGCCCCCCAACTGGCACAACACAGCCATCCAAAATGCTGCTTAAAGATAAAAACCTGTTTTGTTTGTTCGTTCCCTCTTGCCAGCTGACCACTGCCAAAGCCCCTGGGGGACTGCAGGGTAAAGAAGAAGCCTATTTGCATGGACTAGGATGGGTCTGATGTGCAAATTAAACATTCAAGGCAACAGTCAGTAGTGGTAGTAAAGCAACACCCACCACAAGCAACATCAACCACAGGCAATCTCACATGGGAGATATGAAGCTGTCCCCTGCCACCGCCTGCCTGTGCAGAGGGGCAAAGCTGTCCGCACGCACCAGGTACGAGTCGTTGGGCATGTTGCCAGAAGACCATTCTAGCTCTAGTACTTGCCTGCTGTACTTGTACTTGCTGATCCTAACTCTAGGCCAAGTACTAGCTCTAGTACCTCCTATGTGATACTCTGCAGGTCGGGTGACATTACATAGAATGGATATAAAAGTGCACAGCTACTGGAAAAGGTGGAGCAGTTGGAAAGAAGCAGGGAACTGCCAGACATCCTTTTCTCCTCCCAGATTTCTTCTGGGAAAATCCCATCAGTTTTCCCTCAATTGATGATGCTGCTTGCCAGTATTTCCTACTATAAAATCATAAATAAGATGGAAATTACTCACTAAAAACTCATCCCGGATGAAGAACTTGGCTCTTGTGACTTTGGGGTCTTCTCCTGCATCGGGTGTTGCTGTTCAATTAAAAAATAAACTACATCAGAAACATGAAGACAAAACAAAACACAATCACTTTACCTGCCAAGTAAAAGATTTACTAAATAGCGCGTTGTCCTACAATACAGGGAGCAGTCCTTTAAAATATGAAATGTCTACTGCAGATTCTAAATCCAAATTAATTCTAATATAGGCAATTCTAAAATGAAATGGTAGTGTAAAATCTGAAATAAATGTCTAAGCAACTAACATCTTTCAGGGACTTGCAAATAGCCTAAATTATTGCAATAGTGTCATCAGTCATCTCAAAAAGAGGCTTGTCCACATCCATGATTCTGTTCACATAGATACAAAGCAAGTGCTGGTTTGGGTTCAACTTCTGTAAGAAAACAACTTGAAAAAGCTGCCGAGCTGTTAAGGTCGCTCAGCAAAACGGCATCTCTTGAATAAAACTCTTTAATGCAGGAATTTGTGTTTTAAAATGGTTAGTAAGATTACACTTGAAAAAAAAATACCCCTTTAGTACCTACATTGTCCCTTCAGGTCTCAATAAGCATCAAACCAGATGCTTACAAACATAATGGATAACAGACAGAATTTGTAAGAACAAGGAAACACATAATCTGCTCTCATCTTTAACAGGAAGAGTGAACCTAAAGCAGCAGCATGAGCAGCAGCACCTTAGATTTCGGTCAATTAAGTCAGCTGAAAATTAAGAATAAATGAGCAATTACAGATGAGAAGTAGAGAGCTGCTTCAGGTGTGGACATTCATGCTCATTCGGGGTAGCTGTGGTGAAATCCTACTGAGAAAACACTACAAGCAACCTAAATCTGACAGCTTGCTTACTGTGAAAGATGAATTTACCCAACTTTGCTGCTTATCTGGGGTGCGTGTCTGGGGGAGGGATGACAGTGGTGGACGGTTTCTTCTGAAAGCCCTGGGCATGAATGAACTGGTGCACAGTTAGCTCAGACCTTGAGGAAGGAAAATTCATTTACCCTTCCCACTAGAAATGTAGCAACACACTTCTGAAATTCCCCAAATCCTCATTCATCGCACCTTTGCTTTGGTAACGCACGCAGTTCCTGACGGTAAGAGCAGAACAAAAGCCTTTGCTGACGGGTCTCTAAAAGCTCTGCGCCAGGGACAGCGTCATTTGGCAGAAGTGGAGCCTAGTGGTCTGAAAACGCAGGTTTTGCTCCTCTTGCTAGACACAGAGGTGAGGTGCTGGGCGAGCAAGGATCTCTCTGTACCTAACCACCTGCTGTAAAACAGCCATCCTACCCAAGGCCACTTATGCAATCTGCTGCTGCCGTGTGGGAATCATTGCACCTTCGGAAATACTATGAAACCAAAGACATGCTGGCAGCCCTCTTATTTTTTCCTCCTGCACTTATTAAGGGGCTTTCCTCCCTTAAACTTCTCTCGCTGATCTCCTGCTTCCAGGTTGCTCCCCACAGGCACTTGGGAATGCTGAAATGCACAGCTCTGTCTGGGAGCCCCAGGAAGGGATGTCCTGCCCTGCATGAGGGCAGCTTGCTCTACTGTTTCAGCGTGATGCAACAGTATTTCTCATTAAGTTACTGCACGTGTTTGTGTATGTGCATGAGAGACAGAAAGGAAAAACAAATCAAAAAGCAAACAAGCGAAAGGTGTAACTATATCAGCTAGTTATATTCTAAAGCTGTGAAAAATCTTACCATCCTCAGGTACAGTATAATGCGCATATTCAGGAAAGTAATCTTCAATTTTTGATTTCCCTGCCAAGACTTTTTCAGCTAGCATGTCTTGTTTATTCAGGAACAAAATGATAGAAATGGTCCGTAACCACCTGTCGAAAATAAACCGAATGCTAGTGTTACTCATCAAACAAAACACACCACTTTTTAACAGAAAACTTGCCAGCTATTCCTTCATGGACATAGAGTGAAGTAATTTGGATCAGTAATTTGGCTTCAACAGAAAAACCATGGCCTAAGCCATGACCTAAATCAGTGTTTCAATTACCTTGCACCTATGCACCTATTATAGGATCTATAAACATATTTATGAATAGTGCATTAGACACTGCTAGAAGCAACTGTCTTCAAATACTGTTTTATAAATTATCCTTTTGATATGAAGCTGGGAAAATGATGACATTTCCTAAATGTGTAGTCCAAAAATTAGCATTACTGTCTCCTGCGCTTGGTTCTGCTGAAACAAGAGAGAAAGACCAGACAGTTACCTCTCCTCCAAGTGCCCTGCCAAGTGCCTATTAGTTCATCCACATCAGTATTCTGTCTTTCAGGATGGCCAGTGTGATTCTTCATGAATCAAAGAAGATCATCTCCCTTCTTCCTCTAATAATGTCCCTAGCCATTATCCTGACAATGTTGCCTGGGGATTTGTGCTTAAAATTTTTCCATACTCTACCTTCAGCCCAGACTTTCATGACAGGTGTATTTTGAAAAGTCTTCATTACTTTTATTTTATTTTGTTATTTTGTCTCTCATTTTTTAATTATTCTTGACTAGGAAGCCACTTGGATTGTTGTTTAGTTACCGTATCTATAATTTACCTGTGTCTTAAGAGAATGGCAATTTGATGGCAGTTACAATTGGATTAGATGTGAAACATCTTTCCTTTCTGCAAGAGGGAAAAAAAAGAAAAGCTCATGGAAAGATATGTCTTACCTGTTATTCCAGATACTTTTGAAAAGGTCCAGGGATTCTCGTAGTCTGTTTGTGTTATTGTCTTCCCTTATTACCATGTTGTAGCTGCTGCAAGCCACAACGAAGATTATAGCCGTGACATCTGGACAAGACAACAGAAGAAAAAAAAGGAGAGAAAAAGGAATGTTTCCATCCAAGGAATTATCCCAGAACAAACTCCACAAGGTGACACTTGCATTGCTCCCCAAACTAGCATTAATATAATCAAAGTATTTATATAATATCGGATTTTAATATCAGTGACATACCCTGTTCTGAGCACAAATAAAGCAGCATGGACACTAAGCTTCTCATACGGCCAAGAATGAGCTCAAAATAAAAAAGTGGAATTTCTTTACTCACCATTAAAGCATTGGATCCATTTTCTCCTCTCATCTCTCTGGCCACCTACATCAAACATGCTGTTAAAAAGCCATAGGATGTTATATCACTTATGTGCACTAGGAAAGTTACACGCAGCATGCAGCATCAGGGCTAGGTGCAATGACTTGACGGCTC